GTGAGCCAAAAGGAGTGTAAGGACCTTTTTCTTCCAGCAACTACCAAATGGCCTGGGCTGCCATAAGGAGCAAACTGAAAAAATATCCCCTGTATCTGAGTTCAAAGATCAGGCCCCAAAATGTTTCGAAAGGATAGTAAAGCCTTAGGAAATGCCTTGGTTACCTTCACCAACAAAAATAATGGCTGCTTACAGATAGTTTCTTAGTGCTTACAGGTAGAATCTTAGCTTGGCATGAGAGGCTTGTGGCATGGGAGCAAAGTTGCCATGAGCTTAGCATTAAAGAGAAAATTAAGTGTTCTTGGGGAAAGATGGGTATTAAGACAGGAGAGAAAGGATTTTGAAGAGAGGTTTGGTGGAGAATGAAGGAAAGAAAGAAAAGGGTGGCTTGAGTGCTTTTTCCAGCAGCTTGACAGTGGTTCTGTCAAGTGTTAGAACAGCATGGCAAGAAGGAAAATTGAGGAAGGAGATGAACTAAACACGAAAATTGTTGGTTTTGAAAGTAAGAGAGGAAGCTTGCTCTCTGGTTGTGGATGATCCTTGTTAGGTAGAAGAGGCCCTATTTATAGCCGTTGGAAGCCATCTTTTTCCAAGAAACTCTAATGCCTTCCATCCCATTTTGCCAAGTCTTTCCCTTTCGTTCTCCCCTCATCCCTTCAATCATCTTATTTCGGTGAAATCTACTCTGCTCATTTGCTCAAAATCAGGGATTTTGGGAGCTCAAGGTCCCTTTCCCATAGCTGCCCCAGTGAAGAATTCCTATTTTCAGATATCCCTCTTCCTCTCTTCCCTTCCCTCCTCTATGGTCAGATCTGAAAAGGGAAAGAAATGGGTATACATGCTGGTTTGAAGGGTGGCTCGCGCCAATATCTTTTGGTCCCTTGGATGTATCTCTTGAAAACTTGTTCCTTCCCTCCCAGCAGCCTACGTGGTCTTCCAAGCTCTTCCGTGGCTTTGTCTTTCAGCCAAATGCTGAAGCCTTTGCTGCTTCTTACTTCTAATTGTATGGGCTTTCTAAGATGGCAAGTCAACCTACCAAACAAATGGGCTAATTTCCTCAAGTTTTGGGCTATATTGGTTAATTTTAGTGGGCCATTTTGGTTGGGCTTTTTGGGTTGGGATATTTTCTTTCTTGTGCTTACCCATATTTTGGGCCTAAGAAATGGGCCTGAGTTCCGAGGCTCCCAAGTGACCTGGAACCTCCATTTCTTGGTCCATCAATAGGCCTCATGACAACTTATTACCATCCATACCACAACCCACTTAAGCAAGCTCTGGGCATTTGAGTGGCTTGGGTCCACTTAGGCTTGTAGCGTGGTTGGGTGTGACATAACAATTTCTCATTTGGCATTGCATGTTGCTTGGCATATTTTTTAATTATGATGCTTGACAGAATAATTAGCATGGATTTATAGAACTAACGCATTTTATAATCTTAATCTCGATTCCTAGCACGACGGATTATTTATTTGGCATGGCACACGAAGTGTGATTTGTGCATGGCGGATCTTTGTGTGCCCCTAATTGGATCTTTTCTGAATAATGTGTCATTTTGGGCTAGGAATTTATTTGGGCCTAACCGTGGATTTTTTGGGTCTCAACAAGGAGAAAAATCAGTGAGCCACAAAGATTGTAAACACTAAAGTTGTAGCCCTATTATTTTATATAGTGGAAAAGTTACTGCTACTGCTCTCCGATGACGTAGGCAAGGCTGAACCTCGTTAAATATTATGTCTCATTTACTTTACATGCAGCTCAATATTCCCGCATACACCGTTCATTTTACAACATTTCATATATTATTATTATTATTTTGTTGGACTTTTTTATATATTATTTAACGTGAATGAAATGAAACCTTTATTTTATTGAGGCGTTACAGTATTCATTGATTCATGGTTTTGAATACATCAACCAGATCATTGATTCATGGCCATTATCAATTGTGCAACTCAAAAGCTTCCTTCACCAATCTTCTTTTTCCTTCTTGCTTTTAGAATTCTTTAAAAAAAAACTCTGCATACTTATACCTCCGGTACAATGGAGGGTGCTCCTCGTCAATCAAATCCTCAATTGGACCAATCACTGTGTTCTTGTTGGGTCCATAGAACATTGACAATCTTGCCTCAACTTTGTTGGTCACTGCCCTGTGAATGTGGTGCACGCTCTTATACCTTCCATTACTCAAAACCTACATTAAGATGTCTTTTCCCACTTTGATTCTTCACAAAAGGGAAAGAGGCACGGTGTCTTTTGCCATTTGGAAGGATGCAATTTTTCGGGAAGAAGATTGCTACGATCAAGGGCTCTAAATGAAAATATTGTTATATAAGGCATTTCCGGACAGCTGTTTGCGTGCTCAGCAACCACTTTAAGAAAACCAACAGGTCCATAGCTTAGTTAGTCGTAAGAGCATTTCACTTGGCTCAATAATTCTTTTTGTTTTTGGTGGTAAAACCCATGAAAATAAATGAGAATATATCAAGAACATTTTACACAAAAACAATGTATACCATCTTCATCCATCAATTACAGTAAAATCAGTATTATCTTACAGAGACCAGACTTCATACATAACCAAATGTCCAGACTAAATATATACACAGGAATATTTACAGAAAAAGCTGGATGATCACAACTGTTGATCAAGACATGGGTCTCTAGAATCTTTCTTCCCTCCAAGATTACCAGCAACACCATGGGAGACCCCAGAAACCAAGTTATTCAACAAGGAGGTTCCCCAACCCAGCCATCCAGTCTGAGCTGTTTGTTTGCTTGCTTCAAGCATGCTCCTCTGTTGTTCCTCTGCTACGATATCGAACCACCTCTGTGCCATGTATTCCTTGACAGCTTCAACCCCTTGAGTTACTATCTCCATTGGCGGAATCACGAGCGGGTTCTGATCCAAGTTGAGCTTGTTGAGTTTTCTAAGCAGGCCAAATTTTGCGGGAAGAGCTCGAATCTGGTTGTTGCTTAGATCAAGCTCCCTGAGGTTGGTTAAATCACCAATTGATTCAGGAAGCTCTGTCAAGTCACTGAAGTTTCTGGACAGGTTGAGCACCTCAAGAGTTGTCAGTCTCCCAATTGCATGTGGCAGCCCACGAAGCTCATTGAAATGAACATCTAGATATCTCAGTGACCTCATTTCACAGATGGATGGAGGAAGGGAACGGATTTTATTCAAGTGGATTGAGAGCCTTTCGAGATTCAGTAGCCCATAACCAATATTTGTTGGCAAACACATCAGGTTGTTAAAGCTTGCATCTAGCTCCACCAGTGAACTAATATTGAGTACAAAAAGAAGTTTTGGAAACAGTCACAAAGTGAGAATTACAGGAAAAGAAGGAAACATTACCCGCCAAGAACAGAACACATGAAGAACAGATGGGACAAGTGGAAAAAGAAAATTTGAGACATTACCTGCAACGAGCAATGCTTTCAGGAAGGGCATCCAGCTTGTTTCCTGACACATTGAGGATCCTCAGGTTAAGCAACAACCCGAGGGAGTCGGGCAAGGAAACTAAAAGATTGGATGAAACATGGAGCTCCTCGAGTTTCTCAAGTCCTGCTATTGAATCTGGAATGGACTGTTTTGCCAAACAAATAAACCAGTTATGTAATATGTTACCAGGAACTACATCAATGAAATGCAAGACCCTAATCATAAGTTACTACTTAGAGATCAATGATGCCAAAGAGAGTCTTAATTCTATCCATCTGCTGCAAACATTGATTGGTTAGTTGGATTTTGCTCTAAATATAGAAATCCAATTGTGAGTGGACTTGTAAGCTATATTAATTTTTCATATAGGATTAGCTAAATGCTTGATCTGGCATATGTCTAATTCAAAAAGTGAACTGATTCATTGAAAGTTGTAAGCTTTTCTGTCTCTAAGATAAACAAGAGAGAGAGAGAGAGAGAGAGAGAGAGAGAGAGAGAGATGAGAGTGGAAACCTGTAGCTGATTGTTTGACAGGTTGAGAGAGACCAACCCATGAAGCTTCCCGAAGGCCTCTGGTAGAAACCTCAGATGACGCCCAGAAAGCGCAACTCTTTCAACAGCTACCCCACTCTCTGCCTCCTTCAAAATCCTGACCACTTCCTCATTCAGTTTTATCACCTCACCCTCCTTCTCCTTTTCTAAATCAACCACGACCGAGCCATATGCCTCAGCAAGCCTCACTTCCACATCCCTCAGCTGTTCCTCATAGGTCTTGTGCATCTCCTCCAACCTCACCACCGCCTTGTATATCTCCAACTCTTTCTCTGCCGCTTCTCTCACTTGTGAGTAGTTCTGGGATTCTTGGAGGGCACTACTACTACTGTTTTGGAGCTTAGACTGAATTTTAGCGATCTTGGCACGTGCCACAACCACGGTGGACGGATCGGGTGGAGTACCGAGGGCCCGGAGCAGGGAGAGGGTCTGAGAGAGGGTGGTGGGGATGAGGTGGGTCATGGAAGCAAGGACTTTGGGGTGGTTCAGGTGGGGAAGCTGAGTCAACAGAGTTTCTTGGAGTTGGGGTGGGAGTGGTGGATTGGATTTAGGGTCGAGCTTTGACAGGATATAGGATAGGATCGGAAAGTCCCTGGAATATTGTTGATCCATTTCTCTCGGACTCATAAGAACTCCAAACAGTTAGACGTACAAGTAGAAGATGATCGAGACAGAGAGAGATAAAACACAAGTGTCGGAGAAAGAGGAAACATATATGTGCAGAGAAAGGGGGAGAGAACTGGAAAGTACTAGAGAAACCTGTGGGCTCCAACCAGATAGAGTAATGGGCTGCTGGTTTTGTTTTGATACGACGAAGGAAGCGGTTTACCCTTTGGAAACCAACTAGACGACATGACTTGTTGGATCTTGAACAACCCATAAACTGTAGAACCATTTAATTTAGAACTATGTTCTTAAAATTACATTTGGAAGGGATGACAGGAGTTCTCATTAACGTCATCCAAATGCAAAGAGAACCAGGATTCATAAACAGAAATAAAATCCAAAACAAAAGCAACGGAAAAAACTAGGATCCTTCCAACAGACTATTGTTTTTCTTTGTTACAGAAGACGTTTACAATACAGAAAACCTAACTAACAATGTCCCTTGGCCTACAAACAACCCACAGGCCAAAGCCAGCTCCAACTCAAAGCTAGCAATACAATGGTTTCCCAACACTACGGTAATTTAAAAAAATTGTTCAGCTATCAAAATCTTTCAAAATTTGGTCACCATCAGCAAGTTTCTTCCTTGCACAGCAAGCTTTGAGAAAAATAGGCCAACCTCACAAGAAGAAGAGCGTTGCAACCATCTCTTCTCCAGATCAAATAATGAAATAAGAAGAAGTTCTCAGTGGACTGCCTTTTGCCTAACACCAGCATCTTCATGCTCAACCTGATAAATAAGGAATACATTCAGATTCGAGGGAAGAGTTACATATCACAATAGACGTGTAGATATAGCAAGTTATTTCTAGTGATTTCACAATTATTTAAAAAAGGGTATTATTTACATTACGGGTACTGCTCTCCTAATCAATTACAACTAAAAGGGAGATAAGCGGCTTGGATTTAACATATGATATGGTCTAATAGCAACCCCTTAAGTCCTAAGGATAGGAAAGACAGTTTGTAGTTAAAGTGATACATCAATGCTTTTCAAGCAAGAAAAGCAAGAAAACTATGCTGAACCAACTAAAGATGTAACTAGCCATTACCTCAACAAGTACCCTTGGCTTCTTCTTCGATTTGGCAGCAGGTTCATCTTTCTCAAATCTTCTAGAAGCAAAGGCAGATTCCTTTCTCTCTCTGTTGCGAATAACTGCTTCTGCCTCTTCATCACTTCCAACTGCATCATTAAGATCCTTCATTGAGTCCATTTGATACGCACAAGCACACAAACTCTTCCCCATAGTTTTATACAACAGTTGGAACAAAGCATTATAAACCTTTTTTTAGCCACAGCAGACTAAAAAAATTAGTCTGTTATGCAAATTTTGTGTGGATTATGCATGCATTCATTTCATATTCTGTTAAGACTAGAATTTAGCTTTACCAATATCATCATCTGCATGAGAATTGTCCACTGAAAAACCAGCAAAATCTTCAATATCATCTTCCTCTTCAAGTTCATCATAACCTTCAACATATTCTATCTCAGGTTCCTGCTTATTCCAACCACAAAAGTACTTAGATTATGAAAGCATACAATTTCAAGTAAGCATACCATGAAATACTTCACATTTCAATACTAATAATTGAGATATCAGATCATCCAAAAAGAGGGCAATGATAAAATTGGACAAGAATACCTCCTCTTCTTCTTCTCTCTCAGTATCCAACTGCATTTCTTCCCCTTCAAGAACTTTTTGGTATTTATCAAAGGGGTAATTGTATATATCTTTATATGCATCACCATAAACTCCTTTCTTGAGGCGTTCTAATAGTTCTCTCTCAATGCTCTGCAGAAGGACAGTAAATCTTTAGGAGAGCTAGCGACAATAACAGATCAAGTCCAGTACTTTTATAGTGTATGGCAGTTAAGTTAAAACCTTATCCAACACTGCAGCTTTTTCAGCCTTTTCCTCTCTTCTAGCCTCTCTCTTTTTCTCTTTCCTTGGTGTCGTCATTATTTTCTCCCTGGTAAAGAACACAACAAATTGCATCAATACAATGGCTCAACACAACTTCTTTAATATCAACATTAAAAAGGTAAAGTCACTTTTCGGACAATTTTTTTAATTTTAAAAACATAATTATTAGATGAAGTAGACATTTATCACTTGGACACGAAGCATTACACAATGAGATGATACGGACCTTGTTTTCAAAGCAAGCTTCCTCATGCGTATCCTCATCTGGGTCATTTTAGTCAGCCGTTGCTTTGTTTTGTGCACAAGAAACTTAGGCCAGTACATCTGCCAGGAAGGTCATGCTGATTAATCATTTCAAGAACCTCTAACTCTATGAAAACTAACATACATTTAATCAGAAACAGTTAAAAGAGGGTCAGATTTTCAATACCAGATGTTTGTCAATAATTTCAAGTGCTTTCTCATAATTCCTGGGTAACTTAACTCTTTCCCACAATTTGTTTGGCATATGAGCTCTTTCTATAGTTTTCATATAAAGATAGAAGACTCCTGCAGGACACAAACAGAACATAGGAAAACATTATATGCATTGCTGCTAGTATAGGAACAAATTTTAAGTAAACTATACTCTGGGAAAATCAACAAGACTATATAAGCTTTTCAGATATATGTTAGCAAACCAATAGGTTTCAAAGGATATTGAAGATTGTTTGATCTCTTATATTGTAGTTATACGACAAAAAAGAGAGTAGAACATCGTATAACTACATTAAGTGCTCTTGGTTTTGCAGAGGGAAAGTTGTGCGAAGCATTTTCTAGATGCTTCTGTTCGACATACAGTATATCGTGTTCAAAGATGGCATCTCCATGGATGAAAGGTAGAAGGTTTACGTATGTGAACGGAAGCAGCTAAGAGGCTTTTGTGTTGACCAAGGAGAAAGTTATATGGGTGCCTATTCATAATAGATAAAAAAATTGGCCCTGAGCTAAAAGGGTTATGAAGAATCTGCTAACATAATTGACTTTGGTTTAAATGCAGGCCCCTGTCCTCATTTCTACTTAAGAGAAAATTATATTTTCGTTATTGACCCCGAAAATCAAAATTCGTAGCTCCAACACCGGCTCTACCTAAATTGCCTCAACCTCTGATCAAGTGTCCAACTTAATATTAAGCAAACCACCTTGTTAAAGCAAGAAAAGACACATTCATTCTTTGCTATCTTCATAGCAGAGTAAAGAGAACCATTCACGAATAAGCAAAATGAGAAACAAGTACCATCATGGTCGCGAATGGTGGCGTAGCGACTATTAGCCAGAGGGCACGAGCTTCGGTTACAAATCCCAGTGACGTTATATGGGTTTCTACAGAATATCCCAGTTTCAATTCTGACAAAAACAGAAACAAAAAACCAATTAACACTCAAAAATAGTTATAAAAAAATCAGGTAAATTATCAAAATTTACAGACAAAAAGAACATTAGAGAAAGAAAACGGCATACTTGGACATGAAGCTGCAGTGTTTGTGCCTGATAACCTGCCATATGACCTCGTCGTTCTGCATATTTAATCAAACACTTTCGATTTTCGCTATGAGCGGTTGAATTATTTGAAGATGGAGGTTTGCCCTTTGGGGACTTTGAGAAAAAGGGTAGGGGTTAAGGTTTTAGAGGGTTTATTCCACCAACCAAAAAAAGAGCGAGTCTCAAGAGAAACCTTAATTGAGGACAGATCGCAGCCGTTAGATGAAATTGGACGGCTAGATTAAAAAAGCCGCTTAAGTTACAAAAGCAGAGATCCATATATCAATCTTCCTCTCTCTCTCTCTCTCTCTCCCCACCTTTTCTCTTCTCCTCCTCTCCAAGTATCTCATTTTTTTCCCATAATATAACCCAAAATCAGATCAACAGCCAGTCTCTTGATCATATTAAGATGATATTTTTTTTCTTCAGGAATTCAAGAGTTGGGCTTTGGTGGGAGAAACTGAAATTCACCTAAAGCAAGGCTGTGATTTGTCTCATGCAGTGACTTTGGCGCCGTCTAATACCGGTCAACAAGGCCATTGGCTCTCTCTCTCTCCTCTCTCTCTTTCCTATCACCAGCTGCCTACTTCATACCTGGAAAATTTAGAGAAATACTAGCAACCTTCTCTTTTGAGCCTTCTCCTTTTTTTTCATTACATGTGTCACTTTCCTTACACTAAAAACTAGGGGTGGGCATCTAAAACCGAAATACCGAAACCGTACCCTAACCGAACCGTACCGTACCATACCGATTTCATACCGTTTCATTCGGTACCGATCAATATTCGGTACCGTACCGTACCAATAGAGTATGGTATGGTAGTGGTATCAAGTATTTGGTACCGATCAATACCGTACCATACCGAATACTATTCAGATATATAATTTTCTATTGAATATGTTGATGGATATTGCATATGTTGATTAGGATTTGGTTGATTTGGATATTGAATATGTTGATGGATAATGAATATGTTGATTCAGCTTTGGATATTGATAATTGAATATGTTGAATCTTTGAATTTGTAACTTAGGCATCACTTATTTTGGTAAATGAATATGTTGAATATTGAATTGGTTCATTTTTTAGTTGTGTCATTTTTGTACCGAAATGGTATCGATACTGTACCGATACCGACACGGTACGATATGGTACGGTACCAATTTTGACAAACGATAATCTCATACCGTACCATACCGATTTAAATTTCCGGTATCGGTAGCGGTACGGGCTCAATACCGTACCATACCGTACCGTGCCCACCCCTAGTAAAAACAATGTTATTAATGCATCCCGCAAACTAATTTTTGTTTTCCAAGTCTTATACTTACTAAATGTATTGATTTTTTTTTACAACTTTGTTACCACCTTATTAAAATTAAAAAAACAAAAACAAAAACCAACCTTTAGAGTAAAAAGGTGGTAAGAAAAGGTGGCTTTTTTTTTTCTCTAAACTAACGTTTTTTTTATTTATTTGATTTTTTTACAAGGTGGTAAGAAAGTTTTAAAAAAAAAACTATCCTTGTAAAAAAGTCAATATGTTTAATAGGGGTAAATTTGGAAGACAAAACTTAGCTTGTGTGATGCATTAATGACATTGTTTGAAGTATAAAGAAAGTTACACATGTCAAGAGGAGAAGGGAGAAGGTCCAAAGGAGAAGATTAGAGAGAAGGTTGCTAGCATTCCCCTAAAATTTATGATAAATGCAAAAAAAGTTATCACATCCAACGACAAAAAGAGCCAAACTTCTGGTTATTCTTCGAAATTCTCAATAATGAACTTATGAAAATTATTTGCCACATATTTGCATATTGTAGCTTTCTTTTATCTATCTATATATATAAAGCAAAAGGCAGAGAATGGTGAAACATTCAAAATATCAGAAAATGCCCTTGGTTAATGCAAACATTAAGAATTGAAATTATTAATTAAATTAGGATAATATGGTAAATTCACACTTTTTCATATTTAAAAAAATTAAAATTAAAAGAAAAATCAGATAATGGATCCTATTTTTATGGAACAAAACTACCCATTATCTTTTTTAATTCTAAAATAAATTTAAATTTTTTATTAAAAAAAAGCCTCTCGCAGGTGCGGAAGCGCGTGCAGAGAGGCTAGTATATATAAAGCAAAAGGTAGAGAATGATGAAACATTCAAAATACCAAAAAATACCCTTGGTTAATGCAAACATTAAGAATTGAAATTATTAATTAAGTGAGGATAATATGGTAAATTCACACTTTTTCATATTTAAAAAAATTAAAATTAAAAGAAAAATCAGATAATGGATCCTATTTTTATGGAACAAAACTACCCATTATCTTTTTTAATTCTAAAATAAATTTAAATTTTTTATTAAAAAAAAGCCTCTCGCAGGTGCGGAAGCGCGTGCAGAGAGGCTAGTATATATAAAGCAAAAGGTAGAGAATGATGAAACATTCAAAATACCAAAAAATACCCTTGGTTAATGCAAACATTAAGAATTGAAATTATTAATTAAGTGAGGATAATATGGTAAATTTACACATTTTCATATTAAAAAAAATTTAAAATTAAAAGAAAAATAAGATAATTAATCCTCTTTTTATGGAACACAACTACCCATTATCTTTTTTAGTTCTAAAATAAATTTAATTTTTTTTTTTAAAAAGCCTCTCGTAGGCGCGGAAGCGCATACAGAGAGGCTAGTTGTATATCATTAAATCAATTCTTTTTCTTTTTCTTTTTAATATCTTCTTGGATTTGTATATCATTAAATCATATTTGCATTTTTATTCTTCTGCCTTCGTCTCTCTTGCAAGGAATCTTCATATATGGGTGCCTATTCACAAATATTTTTATTTCATATGCCTATATTTTCAGTTAATCTTCGCTTTTTTTTGCAAGGAATCTTAGAATATTTGTTTTTCAACATGTTCTAAATGCTACAGCTTATGTATATATATAAAGGTGAAAACATTTCGAAACACCGAAAATATCCTTGACAGATAAAAATAGGCAAGCAAAAAAAATTTGCCTTTTAAAAGGAAAAAAATAGTAAAATAAATGCATTTTGGTAATTAACTTCCATTTTTATTAGTCAAAATGAGAATTTTTTAGCTTTAGGGACGAAAAAAAAATTGTTACCATTTAATAATTTTGGGTAAAAAGGTAAAAGGAAATATAATAATAATTTATGGGAAAAAGCAAGGATATGGCAAAGCTGATGTCTTACACTCGTGTAGCTGTTGAAGAAGATGCGATGAGGTCCCACCACATGTCGACTGTTGGTTATTTTGCATTTTTGTAATGCAAATTTATATAGAAAAATGGTAATAAATAGTAGGAAAATCGGAAAATTGCTCCAAGCTCTTTGTGACATTATAAAATAGGGGGAAGCTATAAAACTAAATTTCATTATGAAAAAATTCAAAGTGCTTTTGACACGTCACTTTCCTCTTAACTCCAACTATATATCCTTATTAACTTTACCTTCAATAACCTACATCAACAAATATCTCATGTGAATGTTCGGATTTGTTTTTAAAATTTGGTAACCATGAAACAAGGCCTTCGTTAGGGAAGATGAAGTTCCAATGAGTTCGTAGCAATTTTTGGAATATTTTTCCAACGTGTGTATTTTCTTATGATTTTTCTAATAGAAATACAATATAATAATAATTTAGGGTAAAAAGTAAGGATGTGGCAAGTTGACTGACCATTCACACATCCAATTGTTGAAGAAGATGTGCTCAGGTCCTGTCATGTGTTGCCTCGTGCTTATTTTGCATTTTTGTAATGCAAATTTCTTAAGAAAATGGTAATAAATAGTAGGAAAATCAGAAAAAATGTCCCAAAACTTGCTCCAAGCTCCTTGTAACGTTATAAAATTGGGGGAAGCTAAAAACAATTCATTTCATTATGAAAAAATCTAAAGTGCTTTTTATAACTCACTTTCTTCTCGACCCTAACTATACATCCTTATTAACTTCAATAACCTACACCAACAAGTATCTCCTAAGCATGTTCATAATCGTTTTAAAAATTCATAACCATGAAATGGGGCATTAAATAGGAAATATGAAGTTCCAATGAGTTCGTAGCAATTTTTGGAATATTTTTCTGACGTGTGTGTATTTTTCTTATGATTTTTCTAAGAAAAAGGCAATATAATAATAATTTAGGATAAAAAGTAAGGATGTGGCAAGTTGGGTGATGTACATGTGTCCAGGTGCTGAAGAAGATGCGCTCAAGTCCTGCCATGTGTCGCATTGCTTTTATTTTCCATTTTTGTAATGCAAATTTCTTTAAAAAATGGTAATAAATAGTAGAAAAATCAGAAAAATGCTTCGAAAATTTTTCCGAGCTCCTTGTAACATTATAAAACTGAACGTGAAATTTTCACCAAAACAATCAGCCAAGAATTTGACTTGGGATAAATTGAAATTTTTGTCCTTGCTGTCTTATCAAGAAAAAAATAAAAAAAAATAAAAGAGATGTATTTTGTTAGATATGAAACACCAAGAGATAAATATCTCAGTTGAGAGGTGGTCATCCACTTAAATTCAAACTCGTCATAATATAGCCTCTATAAAAGGCATCATGCCTGGAAGAAAAGAAGGGGGGGGGGGGAGGAGAGACACACGAGAAAAAGGAGGAGCTGCAAAGAGAAGTTGCTAGCAAATTTTAACCAAAAGCTTGCAAGGTGAAAGAAATTTGTCATGAGAGCTTCTAGTCTCATTTTTTCTGCATGCCATGAGACCGTCTAGTCTTGCTATTCGACGTCCATGAACAACCAAGAGAAGTCTATAATCCGTCAAGCCATCTCAAATTGAAGACCACAAGACAATGAGAGCTTGCTCCCTGCTTGTGAGGATTTATGCAATGCTTTAAGACAAGGATGTGGTGGTCACCATGGCCTATGTTGCACGGACACTCCAAAATGCTGGAGTGTCGGAGTGTCAGACACGCCGACACGGCTCCGACACGCTCCCGACACGGTCAACGGTTGGGACACAGTTAAGACACGGCTCCGACACAGTCAAGACACGACTCTGACACGGTCAAGACACGGCATGGACCAGTTTGAAAATTTTAAAATAAAGATTGGGGTCTAAACGTGATATTTGAAACTTTGGTGGACTAATTTGAAATATTTTTAAAAAAAGGAGCTAAAAGTGGAAAAAGACTTTTTTAAACCTAAATCTCACCTTTTCTGCTGCCAAACTTCACTGCTCTTCTCCTCCCCTTCTCCTAGTTTTGCACAAGGTAAGTCTCTTTGCAATTTTTTTTTCTCTATTTTCAAATGCATTTATTTATGTTCTCTATTTTCTTTTCTTATCTCCCTCCACTCCACAACAGTAGAAGAGTTGGACTTGGTGGTGAGGTGACAATTCTTTCTTTTGTTTTTTTTAAGAGAAACACAACAAATAATAAAAAGAAATCGTGGCCAAACTCGGGTTAGGCTTTACAACCTTTTTATTTTGTTTCTCTGTTTTGATGTGTTTTTTGTGTGG